AAGACAAAGAAAAAAAAAGAAATATCAGAGTTGTTTTGATTTGCATTTCTCTGATGACTAAGGATATTGAGCTTTTTTAGTCATTTTAGATTCCTCTGTTGAGAGTTTTCTGTTTAGGTCTGTACTCCATTTTTATTGGATTATTTGTTCTTTTGATGACCAATTTCTTGAGTTCTTTGTATATTTTGAATATCAGACCTCTGTCTGATGTGGGGTTGGTGAAGATCTTTTCCCAGTCTATAGGCTGTCGTTTTGTCTTGTTGACTATGTCCTTTGCTTTACAGAAGCTTTTCGGTTTCAGAAGATCCCATTTATTAGTTGTTTCTCTCAGTCAGTCAGCCATTTTCACGTGGGGCAATACAGTAAAACAGAATTCCATGTTTAAGTCCCATAGGACTTCACAACTCTCTGTGCCCCTGTCTCCCTCTCTCTAAGCAAGGAGGCGATGCACGGATCCTCTTGTTAGAATAGTTATAGTAATTACATACATTTCTTAGAATAGTGCCTGCCACAGAAAAAGTGCTCCATCCACATCATCAGTCCTCACTGTAATGTCAGTGACAGACCTTGAGGCATATGTCCATCAAGTCCCATATATCTGTATATTAGCCAAAATGTTGGCAAGTTTGGAAAACACTTCAGGCAGAGAATAGTAGAGAGGATGGAGGCAGTGAAAAAACTGATACAGAACAGGACAGCTGACTGAGAAGCCTGAGAGCTGCATCACAGCTGAAGAAGGCAAGCTTATTCTAGAATCCCCACGGTGGGAAAGGGTGAAAACAAGGGCAAGCAGAGAGTCAGATTACTCCTTGTAAGAAGTAGGAGGGCTCTTTAAGAAAAGGGGTTGCTGCTTCTACCAGCATTGATGGATCTGTGAATGGACATGATCAAACCCCATCAGGACAGTGGCCACTTGCCCTATACCATCCCAGTCCTGGAAACATCTTCAAATATTTAATGCTAATGGTTTTTTTTCGGGGGGGGGGAGTAAGAATTTAATGAGAACCGGGTTTTAGTTTACAGATGTGTCCAACTTTAGTGTTCCATTTTCACTTTTCTCTTGCTTTGTTCATAGGAACTGGAGGCATAGGACATAAAAAGGTGTACCAGAAGACACCCAGTGAAGACCTTTCTCCAGCCCCACCTCACAACCTCACAAGACTGTGCAATGGTGGCAAGCAAACTCAATTTTCTCAGAAAGACGCGGGAAAGAGAAGAAACTCAACATGGCTGCAAATTCAGAGGGAAAACATCTTCCTAAGTATTCCAGTGGGTCTTTGGTTGAAGGAGCTTGAGTCAAGGCTTTAGAATTGCAGCGGCAAAAGAAAAATTGTGGAATTGTACCTTTAAAGCATGTGTAGAAATCTCATTTGGGTACACAGCGATCATTTAGCATAGAAACAAGGAATTGGAGTCTTGATTCCAGTTAGATACCCAGTTACAAGGCTGGAATGCGCCACAGCTCGTCAGCACTTTCGAACTTGGAGTGGGGCTGGAGCGATAGCTCAGCGGGTGAGAGGACCCCCTGCACTTGAGGAGAACCAAGTTCAATCCGCAGCACCCAGGCTCATGATCACCGGTAACTCCAACTCTGGGGAAACCAATGCCCTCTCTGACCTCCACAGGGACCTTCACCCGGGAGGACACACCCACAAGCATATACATACATAAAAACACAGTTAAAAATAAATCTTGAAAAAATAATGCATTTCTACACACTACACACTAGCCAGTTAGATCAGATTCCCACTTTGTTGAACACAATCAACTCTAGCTTTTTTGAATTTCAGCTATTTCCCAGCACATGGACACGTGTTCGAATTATGATTCATGAGGAGTAACAATACCTTGTATAGGAAAGGTCTTAGTGACTAAATTCATAGCCCCACTGTGTGGTAAGTATTGTTATCCTTAGTTTTATGGTCAGTGAGGTCCCAAAGCTGACTCACGCAGGGCCACCCAGATAATTAGCCCACAAGCTTAGAAACCAAATCTGCTGACTCCCATTCCCACTTTGCCAGCCACGACAAGACCTAATGAAGAGTAAACACGAGGGATCACCAGCACTCTGAAGCCCGCCGAGTCAGCCCTGGGGGGGGGGGGGGTAGCTCACAGGGTTGCACATCCGAGTGCTTTGACAGGGCTCCTAAAAGACTCACTTGGTTTGCTGGACTTGGCTGCCACTGTCAAGGAGACCAACTGTGCCATCTTAATACGGTATGAATGGACAGGGTGTTTACCATAAAGCAAAATGAGTATGCCACACATACTAGAGGAAATGCCACTTGAGCAGTCAGGAGAAAGAAAAGGCCCAGTAAGTCCTGAATGGAGTTGTTATCTTGAGCAACTAAACGGGATCTACAGTCTGTCCCTTCCATTCTTAGGCTCATGAAGTCTTCCTGGCCACAGTTACAGATTTTTCTGGACCCAGACCATTGACTCACTCTAGTAACACATACAGACATTCATCAAGGGAGTTGTCAACTCTGCTCACTTCCAATAAGGAAGCCCATTGTCAGGGTGATGGACGCTTGTGTCAACCTGACCAGATCTGAACAGGCGGCAGGCAGAGCCAAGACACTTGAGCCTCTGTTGTGGGCCCTAATTAGAGCTGGGGAACTGACCAGGTGACCTCATGTTTAGTGATACCAGACAGGTTAACGTGGTGATGCTCCTTGTTCCAGTCTGAGACAGACCCACTGGAGCAAAAGGGAAACTGAGGTCCATTTAATAGGATGCCATCTGTGCAGCTGCTGAGATGGCACTGAAATTGGTCCCTGGAACTTTCTTTTCACCAAATCCATCCTATGCCAACTCCTTCCTGATGGACACATTCTAAATGGTGCTTGTGAATGTCAAGTTTAGCTGTGGTCAGGACTAGTATAAGCGTGTGAGTCACCGAGATCTCTTGGAGAGATTTCACCTTACTCAATGCTAATAGTTTATCTGTGGACATCTGAGGCTGATTCTCAGAGCTCAATCTGTCACTATCAAGCCTGTGTCAGGGCAATCTGACTAACACTTTAACAAATAAAAATTAAACTGAAGAATGGATTGTCAGATGAACACAAGGTCCATATAGGGAAAAAAAAAACCTGGCAAATACATACATACTCAAGGTTTTATATGTATATCTATACTTACATGCTTATATAAAAATAGTTGAGCCCAACATATTATAAATTTTGACCTTTCATTTCCCATTTTTGGACAAGGAAATAGGTTTAGTACCATTAACTTGCTTGTGCACAGTTGCATGTTAGCAAGTGGCAGATATGCACAAGTTTAAAACTCCCCAATAATCCCATTATCTCAGAACATTCTGCTAACTTTCTATGAGCACATATTTTAATAGTATAATGTTTTATAAGTTTCTAGCCTATTTAAAATATGGTAAATAGCTTGCTCTTTAATATAACTCAAAGAACACCATTGAGTTGATTTGCTATCTCATCAGTGAGGCATCCAAATCACTTAAGAAATGATTGGGTATCCCGTTGTTTTCAACTTTTTCACTGACAAGTAGAAATGCAGAGAAGAATCCTCTTAGACAAGCATTTTAACCAACACTTGTTTTAGAGTTATTCTCAGTTTACGGAAGAGTTGGAGAGTACAAATAGCCCTTCATTCCTTGCTCGGTTTCCCCTGATGCTAACTAACACTATCATTTTACCATGGTACATTTCCCATAACTCAAAGATAAATTATGATACTTTCTTCCAGTTTCATTAGGTTTTTCACCCATGTCCTTTCTGTGTTTCAGGATCCAAACCACCATGCATTTAATGCTGTTAAAATGTATGCATGCGTGTACCATTTATAACTATTCTGGATGCGGAAAATTGAACCGCTGCAAGTATGGGCCCAGGAGAACACAGGTTTTTTTTTTTTTAATTAATTATGCACCAGAAGACTGGTGCCAGCACGCGTTCCCCGTGGGGACATTAGATGCCTGTTTCCACTGCTGGCTTTTCTGCCCCCTGTTGTGATGGTGTACAATGACAGCCATGTCCTCAAAAGAGGGATGGTGGCTGAGGCTATATTTCTCCACTGACCTATCTAGTTCCAGAAGAATTTATGGCCCCCTTAGCAAACCTTGCCTGGGGAAGAGAGGATGAGGAGATGGTGCAGTGTAATGAGTTCATAGAGGGCACATAGATACTACTATGGAGACACAAACCTGAAAGAGATTATGTCCCCGTAGGCCCAGGTCGTGACAGTGGGGGTGTCCTGTGCTCAGGAGTGAGATAAGAAATACTGTTTAAAAACCTACGGAGCCGAGTAGATGCCATAGTCAGTTAAGTGTTTGCCTCAGAAGCATAAGGACCTAAGTTCAGACCCCAGTACCTATGTAAAATAGCCAGATGTGGTGGCAATGCACACCAGCAATCTCTGCAAGGGGAACAGGGGTGGGGAGGACAAAGTCAGAAAGATCCCTGGAGACCATGGCCCTCAAGTCTAATTCAACAGGTGAGATTCAGGCTCATTGGGAAAACCTGTCTCAAAAAAAAAAGGGGGGGAGGTGGAAAGTGATCAAAGAAGGTATCAGAAGCCAGATGTTGACCCCTGTCCTCAGAATGCACTTACACACACACACACACACACACACACACACACACATTCACGCCATAGGGGTGGGGCGTCTGAGACAGTCAGATTATCAAAAATAATATGGAAGTAGGAGTCAGGAATAGGGAGATGGTGTCAAAGCAAAGAGGATGCCCTGCTGGTGTCCTGAGACTACAACCCCAAGGCCCCAGATCCTACATCTCGATGTGGAATCAGACTCAAGAGGAAACCGAAAGGCTCTAGGCAAACTCAGGAAGGGTGGAAATGGGGACTGACAGCCAAATCTTTTCTCTTTGTGGTGTCGGGAGGCAGGTGGCCACAGGAGGTGACCCTGACCTCAATCATGAGTCAACCCAGTCCGGCAGGTCACCACACACTTGTGAACGTGCCTTCCTGTCTGGTCTGTGGTTTGCCTTTGCTGAACAGAAATAGGGGCGAAACGAAGAGGAGGACAAAGGCAGATTCTTGGGTTTCAGAAATTCCTCTGTGCACCAAAAGGGAAAGCCATCAGCACAATCCACAGGCTGGGAGGTTCCTGGAATTTTAAATGTGTTGAGCCAACTGCACAGGGAGACTTTATCTGTCTACAGGTAAGAATAAAGAGAGGGAGAGAGGGAGAAAGAGGGCAACGTAAAAACTCATAGTCTTTTGGCTTGTGTGTGAGATCATTAATCATCTTCTCTGGAACGGAGGATGGCTTCCGTACTGTAAGAGGAAAAGAGAAACAGATCCCTTTGGCCAATATGCTACCCAGATGTTCTCCAGAGCCCAGTATCTTTTTTTCCCCCACATTTGATTTGAAGAAGTGAAAGCCAAAGAGACAATGGAAGGTTAGCAGGTTCCTAGAGACTACCCGACCAATCCTGTCTCACCTGGAGCAACCCTTCCCCTTCCCAATTGCACAGGCTGCAAGCTTTCAAGAGGCATGCAGCCGTAGTCCAACAAAAGCTGCGGAAGCATTTGGTGCACAGACTCTGGCCAGTATCTGTCACGAGACCTGTTATCTGGAAAGAAGGAGGAAGGCTTGGGTGCAGCCTGCCAGCTGCAGGCATGGCCTGAATCTGACACGCCTGGATGTATCCCAGCCTTGCTGAGCTTCCCACTGACTCCTTCATTCTCTGGCAGTTAATCAGCATGAGGGAGAATTAAGTCATTCACACGTTTGGTGGAAATAATTCCGGGAAGCCTCAGCTAAGAGTGGGAAGGTGCTACACAAAGGCCATATAGTTCGGCAGAACAGACCTAAGCTTAATGAGACAAACTCATTAGAGTGGGTATCCCATCCTCTTCCCAGTGGTTTGGAAGTGCTTATAATGGTAAATACGTGTGGCTCAAGACCAGCCATACATATCAAGATGAGATGAGAGAAAAAGAAAAGCACCCACATCCTCACTGTCTTCATCTGCCTGTAATTTTCAGGGAATGGGGACCAAATTGCTTTTTACCCTGGGATCTCCAGAGACAAGAGTCTGTAGCTCCCAATGCCTGTTATTAATGATTAATTTATTATTATCTTATAGTTTTAGTCATGTAAACATTGTACAAAAGCAATTCTTATATCTCCTTAACCAAAAAGTGAATATCCCTTGCCACATGTAAATATTTAACCATGGGTAAAAAAAAACCAAACAGCTGATAACAGAGGGATTCTAAAGCATGCCTCATAGAGAGGGTTCTAAAGAAAGTTTTGTCCCCTGCCCCCAATGCTTGCTTTCAGCTTCATCTAAAAGCAAAAGTACAGATAAAGATGACGAGTAAGCAGTGGAAGGAAAAATTAAAAAAAAAAGACATCTTGACTCCAATGGCAACCTTTCCCAAGTCAAACAAAAAGCTGGAATATGAAAAATGATGTTTCCTTCCTACAGGAATCAATAATGACATTGTGTCTAGATAGCACACCGAAATGTCCCTAAGCACCATCAGGGCAGAGCCCCTCACTTTGGGAAAGGTGAGAATTAAAGGTCTCTCTGAAGGCGGCAGAGTTCTGATGCTCTGTGGTTGTCGTAGTGAAGTATTTTAAATTCTAACAGTGAAATTTTCTGCGTGAGGCACGCACGGCTCTATAAAGTGGACTGGAAACATGACACACTTGATTCCCCTGCCTGACTTGGAAAGAGTTGTTCACCTCTTTGAGAACATTTGTGTGTGTGTGTGTGTGTGTGTGTGTGTGTGTGTGTGTGTGTGTAGTTTGCCATGACACCATGAGGCCCACGATGCTTTACTCTGGATGGAGCCTCCCCCAACTCCAACTGCTTCAGGAAATGACCTGCAAAGCACAGACCCCTGCTCTATACTCAAAAGCCAAGTTCTCATGAAACATAACAGTATGTCATGGGTATGTATGTATTTCCTAAACTTCTGCCTCTCTAGAAAGGGCCCCACAGTTCTAGAATTTAGGTTTTCTTTACTACTTCATTGCCTTATTACTTTCTTCTTTTTTCTTTATTTCTTTATAACCCATTTCTGTCAATAGACTAAGAGGTGTCCCGTTCTCAGGGGCAAGATGACATTGAGGAGATGGCTCGGCAGTTAGGTGCACTCGCCGCTCTTCTCGAGGGTCCAAATTTGGTTCTTAGTTCCCATATTAGGCAGCCTCAACCACCTCACAGTCAAGCTCCAGGAGATCCAATTTACATTTATGGACTGCAAGGACACATACGTACTTATGGCATGCATTCACACACACACACACACACACACACACACACACACACACACACACTTAAATGAAAATAAGTATTTTTAAAAGCCTAGACTGATCCAAGAACAAGCTATAGCAAGGATAGTAATTGAGAACAGACTAAGGCTGAAAGCATTTTAGTGAAGGTAGCAGAAGAGTCAGGACAAGACAGAGAACTGTGGCCTAGACACAACTGGATTACAATCCAGGAAAACCCAGCTGTAAGCAGAGGTAGAATTTTGATGGTCGGGCTGAACAGCAGGAAATTTCTAGCTGGGCATCTAACTCACTTGGTACAGCGTTTGCCTGCTGTACACAAAATCCTGGGTGGATCCCTAGGGTCTCATGATTCAAGTTGGGGGGGTTGTGCCTGTAATCCCAGCACAGAAGAGGCGGAGGCGGGAAGGTAAGTTCCAGTTTCTGCTCAGCCACAGCAAGTTTGCTGCCAGTCTGAGGCCTGATCTCAGAAACATAAATAAATACACATAGAATAGAAAAAGAAGGATCAAGAAAAACTGAGGCTTTAGAAGAAGAAAGCAAGCAGCTGGGCTGAAAACAAGGCCCAGCTGCCAGAGTGATTTATCTCTGGGGTACCTGCAGCTCATTGTGAAAGTAAGTATTTGAGAAGAGAAAGCCACCTCAGACTCACAAGTGTGTGAGCACACTCTGTTCGTCTCTCTGCACACATGGACCCATCTGCCGCATGGATCATGTGATGTCTGTGTGTGGTCCTGCTCACCGAAAGGTAGCAGGGAAGAGAGCATAGATCAGGATGCTCAGAATGCAGAAACAAGATGCAGGAAACTACAGTACTCAGAGTAGGCCACGTGCAGAGAGCTCTAGCAATAACTGTGGGAGGAAGGTGATACTTGCCCTGAATGCCACTTAAAAGAAGGGTGCATACAGAAATGGGGATCTTTTAAAAAGATTTTTAATCATGTGTGTGTGTGTGTGTGTGTGTGTGTGCCTTGTGCGGCTTTGTTTCACATAAGTGCAGTTGTCTGCAGAGCTAAGAGGAGTTGGAGTCCGCACAGCTGAAATTACAGGCAATTCGTAGTGAGTCACCAGATGTCGGCGCTGGGAACCGAACTCAGGTCCTCTGGAAGCTCAGTCCATGCCCTTAACTGCTCCAACCCTAAAAAACAAGATCCTAAAGCAGCATCCTGGAACATGGGAGGCTCAGATGGGTGGGACAAGGAGGGCTGTAAGGAAGGATTTTTAAGCCCTGAAAACAGCTTAAGCGGATGCCCACGAGGCGATTATTTACGGCTTCCTAGATGCTTTCTAACCACAGAAACCAAAACCTACAGAATCTGTCAGCGCATCCTAGGGCTAGCGTCTGAAACTTGACAATTTGCAAACCACTCATGCAGAAGAACCGAGCAGATTGGGAATCTCCCTGATTTTTATCCCGGCACCCAGGTTCTCACGTAGAGAAGAATGCCTTAATGATTCAAAAAGTTTGCCAATAGATTCCTCAGTCTGAAAGATGTGTTACCCTAAGATACCTTGACGTGTTTATAAATACCATATTCCAATAAGGTGATCCCTTCTGGTAAGATGGTAAAGGTTCTTGAATGGAAAGCAAGAAAGTCCTGGGATGACAGGAAAGGGTTCGTGAAGGTACTTGGTGCCTGGTTACATACTCAAATGACAGTTTTGAGTGCTCAGATGTCGCTGGCAGTGTAGCACATGAGTTCTGAGAGGACCCAACCCAGCATCTGTAGCACCAAGTAGGAAAGAAGGTGGAAGCAGGAGCCCCAAGTCCCTCTGTCAGTCTCTCCTTAGTGATGTCGCTGGTCTATGATCCCTTCCCCTTGCCCCACCTGGGTGTGCAAGCTGGGCCTGTTCCACTTCACACGGATTTCTTCCCCTTTGCCTCGACCATGCTCTTCCTCAAGTCTTCTTCACAGCAAATGGTACTAGGTCTGAACATTGACAGGTCAAGACTTGACTCCTTCTTCCCTTCTCTGTTGGACTCCTGTGTCTGCCATAGCCGACTTAACAACAAACCTGGATTAATAGTGTTTTAAGGGATTCTTTCGGCGCTCTGGGGCCAGAAGTCTGAAGCTGGATACCTCCAGAAACAGGTTCCTATGGAAGATCTGAAAGAGACCCAGGTCTATACCTTATCTAGCCCTTGTGGCTCGTGGGCGTCCCTGGTACTCTGTACCCTTCACACAGCATTCCCTTCTCGGCCCGTCTTCATCTGGTCTCCGCACACACTGACCACAGAGTATGTAGCACCCCAAAGCCCCCACCTCAGCCCCCTGAGAGCTTGAGTGCACCCGACATTTGACTCCAACCCATGCTCCCTCTACCCCACATTGCTTGGCTTTATTTATTTGGTTTATTCGTGGACTACTAGCCCCATGCTGGCAGGCATGTCCTGTCCCTTGTGCTCCGTGCCCCATCTCCGCTTGGCTAACTTCTCTGTTGTGCTTACTTCAAATTAAATGCCACTTCCTTGGAAAATCCTTTCCTCCCCACCAAGGGGAAAACATCACCTAGGGACTTTCCATCCAAGCAGTCAGCCCTCCCTGCTCATTCCCCAGTTGATTTACTTTAGCCTTGATATGGTTGTTTGCTTTTTCATTATGTGGAACCTGTCTCACCACCCCTAGCATAAATGCATGCTCTAAAACGAGGACCATGCATACCTGTCAATTTAACTGTACCCATCATTCAAGAGCTCTCTGAATAAGCAGGTTTTTCTCTATTAAAGGTACAGAGTGTATGTGAATGTGTGCGTGCATGCGTGTGTGTGTGTGTGTGTGTGCATGAGTATGTGTGTGCTCAGGTACCCTTGGAGGCCAGAGGTTTTGGATAATCCCCTGGAGTTGGAGTTAAAGGCAATTGTGAGCTCCCTGACTTAGGTGAAGAGACTCCAACTCAGTCTTCCACCAAGAA